ATGTCACTTTTAAGATGAGATAGACGCAAAAAAATACTGTATAACTTGCAATGTCTTTCTTACATGTGACATCTTATAACTACACGTTTAATTCTTTGTACATAAACATGATAATTACATACTATCCTGCTATTTGCAGAATAAAAATAATTGCAAAGATAATGCGGGGGAATTACGTAACGTGCAAAAGTCAGAGACAAAATAACCTTGTATTTAAGCGACCGTCACTGGACATTGTTACATTGTAGCAGTTTTAAGACAGGTAATATCTTTCGAGTATTATTCCAATATCTTTATCTCTGAATGTGTAATTTTTGTTTTATAATTCAGTAAATAAAAAATATATCAAGTTATATTTATTCACTAAATTATGATAAATTAAACAAAATACTCAATAGCTTTAAAATTAATTTTATCGTTTGTAATAAATTTCCAACAAATTTCTGTATTATAATATGTTTCTATAACTAACTTTTTTATTGAATTCATATTCCGTTATATAATTTTGTATATATGTGTGTGTGTGAGGTTGTCTGTTTGTTTGATATCCTTATCTATTCCAATTTGCGCAAGTTTCTTTCTTAGAGATGCGAGAATGTTTTAGCATTCAATTTTCTTTTTCAGTAAATAAAAGATATATCAAGTTATACAATTTATCCACTAATTATAATAAATTACACGAAATGTTTACTTATATACTCAATAGCTTTAAAATTAATTTTATCGTTTGTATTTCCAACAAATTTCTGTACTATAACATGTTTCTATAACTAACTTTTTTATTGAATTCATATTCCGTTATATAATTTTGTACATATGTGTGTGTGAGATTGTCTGTCTATTTGATATCCTTATCTATTTCAATTTGAGCAAATTTCTTTCTTAAAGATGCGAGAATGTTTTAACATTTAATTTTCTTTTTCAGTAAATAAAAGATATATCAAGTTATACAATTTATCCACTAAATTATTATGATAAATTACACGAAATGTTTACTTATATACTAAATAGCTTTAAAATTAATTTTATCATTTGTATTTTCAACAAATTTCTGTACTATAATGTGTTTCTATAACTGACTTTTTTATGAATTCATATTCCATTATATAATTTTGTATATATGTATGTATGAGATTGTCTGTCTATTTGATATCCTTATCTATTCCAATTTGCGCAAGTTTCTTCCTTAGAGATGCGAAAATGTTTTATCATTCAATTTTCTTTTTCAGTGAATAAAAGATATATCAAGTTATATAATTTATCCACTAAATTATTATGATAAATTACACGAAATGTTTACTTATATACT